TTCATCTTCCAGCGAAGTGTGGTTTCATTCCCGTAGTCTCTCCTCATGACTTCGGTAGTGTACTTTTTCCTTCGGAAGGGGTTCTGTTCCCTTCTCTGTTGACTGGGCGCTGGGGGAGCAGCTTGCTCTGTGGCCTCTCGCTTGGTCCCGCTGTTGGTGGGCGCTTTGGGTTGTCTTCCGGCCTCTGCTGGCGTCGGAGGACGGCTTCTCCCCCTTGGGGGGGGGGGTTCAGAGCTGGCGGGGTGGGCTTCTTCCCCTGCGCTTCATCATTTCCTCTTCGTGGGGCGTGGTCGATCCGCCCCATCCTTCTGGGCTTCCCGTCTGCTCTTTGCAGTCGTGAGCTTTTCCCGTCTGCAGTTCTTCTGGACTTCCTCAGTCTGTGCCCTGGATCCTCTGCCCTCCTCGGAGGACTGTTGTCTCCTGTTCGGATTCTGTTAGGGCCGGGTGCATGGATGGTGGCTCTGGACCTCCAGGTCACTTCTTGGCACGTTCCTCTCCAGTTTTTCTGGGGCTAGCACGGTTGGTGGTGGGGCTTCAGGTTTTAATTGCCTTCCCTATTTTGTAATAGGCACTTCGTATACTCTTTGCATCTTTACCGGATCTTAGTGCCCTGTCTGAGTCTGAGATTCGGTGTCTGGCCTACCTCGACGACTGGCTGGTGTGGGCTCCCAGTCAGTCCGCTTGTCTGCTCGCCAGGGGATGGTCCTTCCAGATCGCCGGGTTTGGTTTCCTGGTGATCTAGAGGTTTTTCCATCTGTTTCCGTCCCGGGTTCGGCCCTGGGCCTTGTTTAAGGCTCTTGGGCCCCTCATTGTCTTCCCTCCAGAAGTGTTAGTGAGGCTGTGGTCCCACCTTTGGCTGTTCAGGAGGGGGTCCCGGGTTGCTCAGCAGTTGCTTGGGCGGTTGTGCGGGAGTCTGCACTTCGGCGTGCTTGTCTGCCCGCGGAGTCGGGTTTGGCTACGGCGTCGGTTGGTTCCTGCGGAGACTCCCCTTCCGCCTCTTGCATTCCTTGGGTTCCTCCGGGGATTTTGTGTTGGTGCTGCGTCACCAGCTTCCTCTTTGGGGTTTTCGGGGTTCCGTGCCTTGGCACCTCCCCGAGCCTTCGCTCGATGTGTTCATGGACAGGTCGTCTCTCGGCTGGGGCTTTGTGACCAGTGCTCACCAGGTCGGCCGAGGTTGATGGAGTCTCTGTCCGTTGGGCTCACAGCACGGTTCGGGTGTTCATGGCTGTCCGGTTTGCGCTTCGGAGGGTTTGGGTCACTAGGTACTCTACCATTCAGCTCTGTTTGGACTGTTCTCTGGTGGTTCTTGCCGGAACCACAGGGGTTTGGCTAACCGTGTGGTTCGTGTCCGGGGTGTGTCCTGCGTCCTGGCGGACGGCTGTCTCGGTTCATTCCTCTTCGTGGGTTGGCCAGTCGTCGCCGATTCGTTTTGTTGGCTCTGTCGGGCATATGGACTCCTGGCCATGGACGTCTTCGGGTCGGCGTGGTCTAGGCGTTGCCCATTTTGTGGCGCCCTTCCCACCTGCGAGGACTTCACGGTGGAGGCGTTCGGCAGGACTGGTCGAGGTGGGGGTACCTGTTCCTCTTCTCCCGGTCCAGCTGTTGCTTCGGGTTCTGGCTCGGTTGCAGCCCATTCCCACGAGAACAGTCCTTATGGTTCCTTGGTGGCTGGCCCGGCCTTCTTTTCAGACGCTGCTTGATAGGTGTCCGTACCCGGGGCGTTTTTCCTGAGGCTTCGCCTCTTTCAGCAGGCCGATCGGTCCTGTCCGTGACTGGTTCGGCCTTCTCCTTGGCTCTTTGCGTCTGGTATTTTGACGCGGGTATCACCATCTCTATGGTGTTCAGGTGGCTTTGTTGACGGTGTCCCACCTGCGAGCTTCGTCTTGGAGACAGTATGACGTTTCTTACGTTTTCTCATGTTTTGTTTCCCCTCCGGCCTGCTCATGCGTCGCCTGAGCCATCCTGGTCCCTGTTCAGGGTGCCTTCTTATCTTCCCCTCAGTTTGTGGTAGCCCCTTCGGTTCAGTTTCCTGCTCTTTGGTACTGGTGGTAGCTTTATAGGTGTGCAGCCTTTCTCTGTCCTGGCGCCGGTCGTGACGGCTGCTTTCCGGAGGGGTTCTTGGGGTATTGGTGCTTGATTGGTTTGGCCGGGGGGTGCGTCCTGTGTTGTCCGGTTGTGCTTTTTTGCTGTTGCCGGCGTACCGTGTCTGGGGATGCGCTGTGGTTGATCCGGTTCCTTCGTTCCCTGTTTTCGGGGCTCGGGTCTCCCAGGTCGTCCGCAGTGTTTTCCTTCTTCCAGTCTGCGGTCTGTCTTTGCGCCCATGCTGTTCAGACGTTTGCAGCTTTTGCTGCTGTGTTGGTGACGTCTCGGGCTCATTTCGGGCGCAGGGATTTGTGGGTCGCGCAGGTTTTGGCCGCCCATCCATATGTGCGTCTGTTCTTGGGCGTTCTTGTTGCCTTGGGTCGCAGGTTTGCGACTGGTTGTCTTGGCTTTGCGTTGCAGAGTTTGTGGCGGCCGCCTCCCGGGTTAGCCCTTTCTTTTCCTTCTCTTTGGGTATGAAGCTCCAGGGAGCCGTAGGGGCTCCCCACAGAAAACCAGCATTGAATGTAATGAAACGCCATTTTCTGGGAGAGCCCCGGAGGCTCCCTGGAAACCCTCCCTCCCACCGGTCGGCGTTTTTTTCGCGTTGGTTGAAGCTTAGCTTCCGAACTGGAGCTTAGCAGCCGGCGCGGTAGGTCCGGGGCTCCCCCCTCCCCCTCCCGGGGTGGGGAGGGCTGCGCGGACGATCGGCGCGGCAGTAAAGTGTGATATTTGCTTGTTTGCTAGTTTCCTTGAGATTGTAGGGAGTTTTCTACCTCTCTGTTCGGTTTTTGTTGTAGTTTCTTACCATGTGGGGTTTGTTTTGTTACGCCTACCTTTCTGGGTGCCTAACCCCGGTCGATGGCAGATAAGGAAAACCCCCAACCATATGGGGTTTTCCAGGGCCATTGCTCCCTGAAACCTCTCTGAAGGGGCCAGGTTCTGGCGCTGGTCCCTGGTAGGTCTGAACTCCTTAGCTAATGTCCCGGTCTAACATAACATACATTAGCCCGATAAGCTCCAGGGAGCCTCCGGGGCTCACCCAGAAAATGGCGTTTCATTACATTCAACGCTGGTTTTTTGTCCGGAAAAGGTTTTGTATTTCTTGCATAGAGGACCTAAACTAACCTAACCTTCCAAGACCTAATGCACACTATATCAGGCGTGTTATAGTGTGTAGTTACAGTACATGTGTGTGCTATACTAGACCCAGGAATATTTAAGTTTGTATTTTAGCTTCATTTTTTTGGGATTCTATATAAAGTGAATAGTACCAAATTCTACTATTTTATTGCTTAGTACATCAATGTTTGTACTATGGTGCACATAATTACAAAAAACTACTATCTAAACAGGAGGATGGGTTGCAGTAGTGCCATTTCTATAAAAATGAAATTATTAATTTTTTTAACACATGTTTTATATGTTGGAATGCATAGGCACGTAACTAGGTTCTATTAACCACTGCACTGCACAGAGTGCCTTAAAGCGCCTGATCGGGGGTGGGCAGAGTGCCATATAGCTTTTTAGGTACAGGGAACGATTCAAAACTCCCACGGCTACATGGGGACTCAAATCCTGTGCCTCAGGATTCCAGTAAACAAACACCATTTTGAAAAAAATTATTAGCATCCGTGCTGGCTGTGAGAGCCTCAGTACTGAGAGAACAACCTAGACTGGCACATGCACGAGCCATGCACAGCACTGCTGTGCAGTTAGGGGCCACAGCACCACTTAGTAATGATGAATAAAATAGGTATCTATTTTGTGTTGATAGTGTTATAGATGATCCTTACTGTGATAAAGACTATGTACAATGTTCAGATATCAGTAAATACAATGTTAATTATGATATTCACAGCATGAGGTAGAGAGAGAGAACACCCAGCCACTGTTTCCTGCATATATGCATCATGAAGTGACCTCATGTTCCTTAACAGTATAACCTTGTGGAAATGGATTCATATTCTGGATTTTTATGATAGGAATGTGGTAATAAAAGCAGTTTTGTAGCTTGTCATTGGAAAATATGTAGAATACTGGAGGCATTTTTTTTAGAGTAGCAATGTTCCACATATTTAACTATATAAATTCCACAATTTACACACTATTGAATAATATTACTGCAAAAAACTAGATATAAAACCATTCACAGACACTGAAATAATTATGTAAAAATGTATTTGGAGAAGCTCCTGCCACATTCAGCTGTCGGCTGCTAGGTTGACCTAGTATTCTTGTTCTGTGTATATAAACTCTCAACACATGATCTTTGTGGTTCATTATGGTGCACAAAAAATGTAGATAGTTATATATAACATGTTTATATAGCATAATAACAGCAAAAACAGTTTGATTGATCTTGGAATATAATAGACGTGTCACCATATATGAGCTTCATAATTTTAAGTACTGTATAGCGATATTCCACACATTTAACTAAATAAATTCCACAAATTAGTACACGCTTTTTAATAACATAACAGCAAAAAAACAAAAAAAACAGAAGAAACGAATGAGATACATTGAAATAATTATGAAAACATATATTGGTGGCAACTGTCACCCCACGGGGTGACGGGGTTGAGTGTTCCCGAGCGCCTCATCACTCGGCGCCCATAAATTGCTCAACTTTTCAGCTCCATCAAAACTAAAGTATGTCGCATACAATATTTTATTTTAGTTTCCTGTGATCAGAGATTGTATTTAAACAATATAAGAAGATAAAATAATTTTTTGGAAGTAATTTTTTTTTGCCGCACAACGGGGGTGTCATATTATAATGCGGCACAGTGAAGGTTAAATAGAAAAGAATAATAATAATTGTTTTTTGTACAATGAATTGAAAATTATACAGTATTGTTTATATTTAAGGTATAATAACTTTTCTTGGAAGTTTTATGTATTTTCTTTTTTTTCAGTATTCGATCTTTGGACTCTTGGATGAGTTACCTTCGTACAAGAGAAAGTGTAATCCAGAAGCATTATCATCCTGAAGCATTTCTCTACCTCTCTAATACTGCCACAAAAAGTCTCTATGATGACTTACTCCTTTCTCTCAGACCACTTGCTCTCCTTCCATTCAATCTCGACCTACTCCATGAATATAAAGCTCTCCATGCAAGCCTACAAAAGATGGAGGAACGTCTCTTCTTACATACAAGTTCAAAAGAAAGCCCTGGTGAACGGCCTCCATCTGTTCTAGATCATTTACATTCAAAAGAAACTAAAGAGTTCAAAAATGCAGCTCAGCAGGATCGTGTCAAAGCTTTGATGAGAGTACTAACATCTCCAGAGCTTGATGAAAATGAGCTCTTACACTCAACAGGGGATTTATCTCGAGAACGAAGCCGAAGCCCAAGACCTAGATCGTGCTATGAGCATGTTGCTAATGAGGAAATGAATCCAACACTTAGAAAACGTTGGAGTGGTGTTCAACTTGGCTCGAGACTGCTAACAGCCATAGATAAACTCATGCTGGAAGAAGCTGGAGGAACATCCAGTGAAGATTACACAGACTCTCTTGATAACCCCAAAAATAATCGGCCTATTCATTCTCGTGCAAGCGAGTGTACTGATGATGATTTGCAAACTGATCTCCGTGTTAGTGATGTCTCTAGTAGGGATGGAGATGTAAGCGAGAGATCAGCATCTGAAAAGGATACTGAAAACGAGAAGGGTTCACGAGCATGTGTAGAGACAGAAGTAGATGACGAGTCTGAAGGCATTAGGTTCCGTCGACTTCAGTTGAAATGGGAGCAAATGGCAGGACCTGAGAAAAAGGCGGCCAAAACACAACAGCCTCAACCTGAAAAAGCTGTAAGCCCCAGTAGTGCAAACAGGTCTAGAATACCTCGGCCTGTTAGTATGACATCTCCGCAGCGTCCTTTCAAACCATTTGAACCATCAAAAGAAAAAACTTCTCCTCAAATTAAACAGGCCCCAAAACATTTTCCTGCCTCTCCTAAAGAATTGCCCAAACCTGCTCCTAGAAGATCGTTGAAAGACAAAGCAACCACTCCAAACTCTTTAAGTGATGATTATACCAACACAACTGCAAGACAACCTTCAGTTCGTTCTCGCCTAGCACCACGTCCTAATTCAGTCAACAGTAACATCGTTCGTGCCTCCTCCGTGCCCGGCCGTGTGCCTAATACTGGAGAAAAGGGCAACAATACTAGTGGCAGGTATGACGGGCAGCGTAGGTATGGTGGACAACCACGGTCGGCTAGCCACGGGAGACGTGTAGCACCTGGAGATACACCCAAGTAGGTAGTAGTAAGACCAATAAAAAAAGTATGGTTGTGGAATTTCTAAATTATAATTAATTAATTTTTTTATCGTGAGATGGTTCAAGGCAAAATTGCAGCAATGTATTACAAAGTAAGATTTGTTCAGTCGACAGTCCTTAAATAATTTCTTTGCAAGAAGGAATACTGTTGTGTATGGTGTCCACAATCAGACTTATTTTATTCAAGGAATTCTCGTGAAACTGCTACATAGTAATGCAACTAATACAGCACTGTCTCAAAGCACAAAGAAGAGAGCACCATATCACCGTTGCTTACATAATATCGGGAAAGCCATTCTTGGGTATGAAGGTAATGTATTGCACTCAACTCTTATGATTCGGCACTAAGTTCAATAGCAGTTGGAAACTAAATTCATCTTTATCACCATATGTTGGTGTCTGTCACTTGTCTTTCTACTGTAGTCCAACACATCTGGCATGTTAAACAACTCTTGCTGTTGGGGATGACGTAGTCTCTTTCATTAGCTCACTTGAATTAATTCTCTGAATTAAATAATTTGTGCAGACTGGACCCATTCTTTCGTAGAGCAGAAGCCACCAGATGAAAGTTTAAATACTATCTTGAGCATAAAAAGATGAGCATTGAATGTGATGAGCATCTGCATGCTTCGTATAGTAGTTTTCATGTTTGCAAAAGATGGTTGATTTTGCTTTTCTTAACTTCTCTGATTAATATAAGGCAAATACCAGTTTCTTGTGTGGCAGCATCTATTGTGCCATAGACTGAGGTAGTCCTTGTTTGTGCTTTGATATCACATCACATGCATTTTGCACTTAAAATGACTCTTATTTTAATCTCCGAGGGAGATATTGTGGCTATTTGTTCTTACCTTGTTTTGGTAAGAGACATAATAATTTTTTTGCAATAGATGTACATCACACTATTTAGCTCTGGAATAGACTGTTTGAAGTTTGTGCAAAAAACATCATCTAGACGTCATAAAATAGCTTGATCATCCTTTTAATGATTCTAAGACTGTGTGTTATTTTTTGTAATTTCTCTTTGACATGACAAAAATTTTGATACTAAGCACACAATTTTTTTCAATTATATTGCTGTAATAATATTAAAACTACTTTAACCGCTGTAGGTCATAATGTAAACTAAAAATTATTGACACTGGTAACTGCTGTACTTATTAATAAGACACTCTGGACATTTCAGATTGGTACAGACACTCCATCACCGCCTAGCCACTGATAATGGTCACCTTAGCTTCAACCGTGGAGATATTCTGACAGTTGTGGTAGAAGTTGATGATCGTTACCTGCTCTGTTGCCACAATGATCGCAAGGGACTTGTACCTAGGGCTGCAGTCATCATTCATGAACAATGAAAACATTGGGCATGACTTGAGGAAACAGACGCACCTGAAGATATACAGGAGAAAACAGACCAGGCCTCTTTACTATTCTGGGTGCTGTGGTACTCGAAATTTATTAACGAATAGCTTTATTGTAAAGTGATTTCAGAAGAATTCTTTGAGAAGTATTCCCAGTGATTTAGGAGAACATTATTTAAACAAAACATGCCTAAAAGAATATGCAGTGTTGCATATCTAACCCCATTATCCATTCCAATATAAAAGGTCAATCACTGAGCTCAAAGGTGTAATATTTTTCGAGGAAGTAGCAAATGACAAAAGGACATTTGAGAGCAATGCCAGTACCTATAGCTTGTAAGACCTTTTATATGCTACTCACAAAACCTGCAACAAAACACTTTCAAGGAACTTGTACATGATTTTGAGTAGTATTATCCACCTTATGCACATAATCCTTCCTGTCATTTTCTCATTGACGAAAATTTTGTTACTTTTAAGAATTCTTCATTATCGATTGATGGTCGATACCCCATAAATGAACCAGTGACAATTCCTTTTTCATGTAAGTCTTGCCAATCGTTATTTCTCTCCCCAGCTCATACTATTGGCTATCTCAACCCTCTCAAAAGGCAAACATGGGAGCAAGTTATAACTCTTCCTATTTGAAGGTCGGCAGACAATAACACTGGGTCACAGGGATGTAATGTCTTGTCATTCTAATGGAAGATGCAGTTTTGAACAAGAAAGAATCCTAAGATCATCAAGTTCTTACAGTCTCGAATTTTACCAATTGCACCTTAACATGTCATCTGCAAGGTTGGGTAGCTGGCACTGATGCCAAGAACTGTGTAGGCACTAACTAAAAACCTTAAAATTTCATATCGACACATTACCTCAATGCATAAAACTGTAGCAGTCTTGCAACTAAGCACATTTAACTCTATATAACAGATGAACTGTTATATTGATAATTATCTTATCCCAAGAAAACCAGATTTTTATTCTCGTGTTCTGGTATTCTCATGCAGTCCTGTCCAGATAGTATTGTTCATGGTAAAGTCATCATGATTATTGTTAGCTTAATATATGCACCTGATACTGTGCACTCTGGCAATGTCATCAACTTTGTAATATTTGAGTAATTGATTGTAGAGTAATTGAGAGGACCACTGTTATTACTAGTGTCTTGTCTAGTAGCAGGTTGTTTGAGACTAGTGGAAGCCTCATGTTCCTAGCTCATGAAGACAGAATAAGTAGACTGTATGTAGACAAGTGTACATGATAAGTGGAGTGTGTACACAAGGATGACGAGCTAGAGTGGACGGCAGCACTTCAGCACCACTACCCTCAGTGTCCTGGTTATGTAGCAGCGTCAGCGGCTGTTGGCTCTGACGGGTTTTTGTTGAGAGACTGGCTAATCCCGCACCCTTATGCACTACTTTCATCTCTTACATATATATTTGGAATTACCCACAAGGAATTTGTGTTAATACACCACATTTTATTTAAAAGTAGAGATTCACTTACATCATTACATTACATTAGTTAAGCATGCTTTCAGCTACAATAAAAATTGTCAGTAAATTTCTAATTGATATTAGTAAATTGATTTTATTATTGAATAGCATATTATGTGGCATTAAAACTTTTATATATAATTATATATAAATATAGTAGGCACATTACAGACTGTTTAATAATAGTGATATCTATGGGTTTGGAGATTATTTTTGCTAATATTTCATTTTTACTCTTGTTACGTTTATTAGATTAGCCAGTCCCTGTGGGGTGACGCTCAAAGTAAGGCCAAGTATACTTTGTTATACTATTAGGAACTTACTAACTGTCCCTCTGACTAAATTTTGTTTCCTCATCCTCTCCTGCATGTTCCATGGATTGTCTTAAGTGTTCCTCACAATCATTTTTGAATAGATTTTTTATATACTTCCTCTTTTTACTTTGTTAGGATTTTTTTTATGTCTTCAGGAACACAATAGGCAGCCCATATTATTTGATTTAGTTCTTCATGGTTACTTAGTTTGAATCTGCCTCAAGAATGGAATGACTCCGCTGTTGCAGCTTTAATCAAACACACCTAATGCATATGACACAGGATTTAAGGCTGTAGAAACTTGGTAGAAGACTAAAAGGTCTCAATAATCAAGCTCAATACGCGTATGAATACAAAAATGTTGTTCAACTGTGGTTGGCCAAACTGAATGACAAAGCATTGTGCCTGAAAATAAATTTTTGTAATGATTCCATATGTCGCTGTTTGCTACAGCAATGCCAGCTGTCCATCTCTTCCTAGTACTAGACCTTTGACCTTGTAGATGTGAGCTTAGACTCCCTGTGTTATAGAAGTTCCTGTGTAGAAAACTTGATTTGGTTGCAGTCAAAGTTGCCTAAGTCTACCTTACGTTTTACATACCTGTAGGTCGCGTTCCAGAGTAGGAAGTAAGTCTGTGTTTCTCCTTGTGATGTATAGATACGGAGTCAAAAGATGTAATTATCGTGTAATGAAAAATTGATTTACGTATGCTTCGTGTAATCTATAAGTGCATTGTTTCTGTACATTTTGATAGCTTTGTTACTTATTTTGTTGCTATTTGCCCTATATATTTAGGGTTAAAATCAAGTCAAATAAGAACATTTATTATTAAGTATAATGGAGGGTGCCTAAGTCTTATTTCTCTATATTTTCGTATGACCAAAGATATACACAAAACCACTTAACCTTTGTACATTTTATGTAGAATGTAAAAATTGGTTTGTAGATATTACCCAAAAATATACTTTTGGTTATTGCTTTAATGTAACATATTAAGTTGTAATGCTATTGCTGATATATGGTAGATAATATTATTTTCTTGCCAGTACTCATCGGACAGTCATGACAGAAATTTTAAGGTGTGAGCTTCCCTCTTCATCTTAAAAGTGAGTAGGGATTGATGCTATCAGGCCTGAAGTCCTCGGTATATTAACTGGTATAATATGAAACTCGTAAAATAATTTTAAAGGAATGGATAAATGGATTTTATTTTATTTCTTAACTGCTGTCTGTAAAGAGGCGGATGATAAATACACACAGTAAGAACTATGTAACCATCATTATCCCTTGTAATGTAACCATAAAATAGTGGTCAGTAGTGTTTTTGTGAATTGGATTATTCTTCAATAAAGCAAATTTCATATACAATGTATTAAAACCAAGAAATTGTGCTTTATTGAAGTCTGGTATTAGTAGGGTCATGGTTGCTGATCGCTTCACAGTTATGCATGTCTCCTGTCTGTCTGCTGACGAAGGCAGCATTTTGGTTTACATATTCACTGCTCTATTACTATGGTGAATAAATATTGGTCAGGTAATCTTGCATTGTTTTATTGCACCTGTATCTTAAAATATATTTTAGTATTGCAACCTTTGTATCAAACTGGTAGTATTTGGGGAAGGTATATAAATGATTTAGTTGCTTATATAAATACTATTTTAATTTGATACATTAGAATAATGTCTTTACGTTCTTATTTGTTACAGTATAGAAAGCGAAGCTGAAAGTAAGAGGGTATTGTGTGCGAGGCACCATTGGAGACGGGTATGTAGATATCTTTCCTTAATTTTACAAGAGGCATGATTGTAATAAGATGGGTCTTTTATTGATTTGAGAAATGGATAGTTGAGTACTGTTTAAGATTGAGGGGACCAGTAAATTGGATGTCCTAGCTGAATGTTGTAGTATGTAGATACAAGTACTGTGCTGCATAAATATTGTAGTATATACAGTATAACAATAAAATACAAAGGATCGTAGTGTAGCTACTGTACTAAACAACAAAACAGCACAAGTGGCAACTGTACGCATTTTGTACTCCCCCAATGTGTACTATATCTTAACTCTCCTCGATAAACATGGTAGCTTGTGAGAGTTGTAGCAATGCCTTTGCAGCTCTCATGCAGGGCATTACATGCTACTGTATATATATTTGAAAACGGGTTTCACTTATGTAAAATTAAATAATATAGTCTTTTGACAGGGCCAGTTCTTTTGAGTATGCAGGGAAGACCTACCCATTTTGAATGTCTAAACAGTTCTCCTAGATACTCTACCTTCATTGATGACAGCAAATAAATTAGTGAAATATTGAGGTTACAGTACAATTCTGTTCTTTGTGAACCCCTGAACATATTGCAGAACAATGATCCAAACAATTTCTTTATGAATGTGACACCATGTTTAAACCATACGCCAGATGTTACCGTAACCCCACTCGAATTTGAAGTAGCCATTGACAACATGTCCATGCAATCTGCACCAGGCCTGCGCATTGGTAAAGCACTTGCCCTGGCATTTCACAAGCGCTTTGGCCTGGGTTCGTATCCTAGCTAGGGAGGATTGACTGGGTACCAATCCTTAACTGTATGCCTCTGTTCACCAAACAGTGAATGGGTACCTGATAGTTAAATTATTTGGCAAGTCATACCCCCTCCCCTTCCGGCCCGTTGGCGTCGTGAGGGGGCTTGGTGGACGGCTGCCGGAGTGTGATGCTCCGTTGGGCAGTCAATTTCTAATTGATATTAGTAAATTGATTTTATTATTGAATAGCATATTATGTGGCATTAAAACTTTTATATATAATTATATATAAATATAGTAGGCACATTACAGACTGTTTAATAATAGTGATATCTATGGGTTTGGAGATTATTTTTGCTAATATTTCATTTTTACTCTTGTTACGTTTATTAGATTAGCCAGTCCCTGTGGGGTGACGCTCAAAGTAAGGCCAAGTATACTTTGTTATACTATTAGGAACTTACTAACTGTCCCTCTGACTAAATTTTGTTTCCTCATCCTCTCCTGCATGTTCCATGGATTGTCTTAAGTGTTCCTCACAATCATTTTTGAATAGATTTTTTATATACTTCCTCTTTTTACTTTGTTAGGATTTTTTTTATGTCTTCAGGAACACAATAGGCAGCCCATATTATTTGATTTAGTTCTTCATGGTTACTTAGTTTGAATCTGCCTCAAGAATGGAATGACTCCGCTGTTGCAGCTTTAATCAAACACACCTAATGCATATGACACAGGATTTAAGGCTGTAGAAACTTGGTAGAAGACTAAAAGGTCTCAATAATCAAGCTCAATATGCGTATGAATACAAAAATGTTGTTCAACTGTGGTTGGCCAAACTGAATGACAAAGCATTGTGCCTGAAAATAAATTTTTGTAATGATTCCATATGTCGCTGTTTGCTACAGCAATGCCAGCTGTTCATCTCTTCCTAGTACTAGACCTTTGACCTTGTAGATGTGAGCTTAGACTCCCTGTGTTATAGAAGTTCCTGTGTAGAAAACTTGATTTGGTTGCAGTCAAAGTTGCCTAAGTCTACCTTACGTTTTACATACCTGTAGGTCGCGTTCCAGAGTAGGAAGTAAGTCTGTGTTTCTCCTTGTGATGTATAGATACGGAGTCAAAAGATGTAATTATCGTGTAATGAAAAATTGATTTACGTATGCTTCGTGTAATCTATAAGTGCATTGTTTCTGTACATTTTGATAGCTTTGTTACTTATTTTGTTGCTATTTGCCCTATATATTTAGGGTTAAAATCAAGTCAAATAAGAACATTTATTATTAAGTATAATGGAGGGTGCCTAAGTCTTATTTCTCTATATTTTCGTATGACCAAAGATATACACAAAACCACTTAACCTTTGTACATTTTATGTAGAATGTAAAAATTGGTTTGTAGATATTACCCAAAAATATACTTTTGGTTATTGCTTTAATGTAACATATTAAGTTGTAATGCTATTGCTGATATATGGTAGATAATATTATTTTCTTGCCAGTACTCATCGGACAGTCATGACAGAAATTTTAAGGTGTGAGCTTCCCTCTTCATCTTAAAAGTGAGTAGGGATTGATGCTATCAGGCCTGAAGTCCTCGGTATATTAACTGGTATAATATGAAACTCGTAAAATAATTTTAAAGGAATGGATAAATGGATTTTATTTTATTTCTTAACTGCTGTCTGTAAAGAGGCGGATGATAAACTCTGTCCTTTTCTGGCCTTGCACTCCTGCTGCTGTCTTCTCCAATTGTGCCGGATCGCTTTTCCTTTTCCTTATGTTTCGTTTTTCTCCCCCCTCTTCTCCTATCTGCTTGTCGTTTCCTGCCGACCTTTTGCTTGTTTTGGATTATTTCTTTGGACTTCTTCTATTTTGACGCCCGGGTGCTTGAGGAGGCATACTCTTGCACCCGTAGAACTGTAGTACCCGACGTCTCGAGCGAGGGGAACCTTTTATTGTCAATCCCCCTTTCGTCGCTGAACCCGATCTCGACGGACTGACGGTTCTTAAGGTGGCGTTTGTGGGGCGTATACTCACGATGCACCCCTAGGGGGCCCCGGCATGATCAGCGATAGCTTCCTGTTGGGTGTCCTGCCTCTAATTGTGGCTCCATGGTGGGTATGGGGGCACATTCGTGGATGAATTTTTCACTTTTCGTCTCTATGTCGTTGAATGTTTCCGTTGTACCCTCTCAGGCTCGTGGGGTGGGCGACCAAGCCCCCGAGTCGGCCTGTATTGGAAGACCAGGCTCTGTAGCTCCCGCTGCGTTGGGCCCCGACCTTGCTCCTACTTTGACCGTCCTGACTTCTTCCCCCAGCTCCCCTCCCTCCTCTGAGGTTGGGTCGAGCCTCCAGCCCCCGGTGGTGACCACTTCGTCCCCTGGTGTGGCTAAGTCTTTCGTTGTGACTACTGCGCCTTTTGACCCCTCTCTCTCTAGGGGTTCTCAACGCCGTTCGCGCCCCAACCGCACTCGCTCGATTCCTTCCCGTGCTGATGCGTATCAGGCCTTGTTTGGTCCTGCTTCATGGGCCAAATACTTTGATCTCCTCCCTCTTGATTCTGCGTCTCCTGACGATTTCTCCCTCCATCGGCATCTTGTAGATTCCGTGGATGCGTGTGTTACTTTCAACCCCACTCGTCTCGGTACACGTGTCGTTGCTGCTCCTTCTCAGGATGCGGCTTCCCGCTTGGCTGCCTTATCTTGCCTTGGCGAGATCCCTGTTCGGGTCTCCAAGAACGTTCAGATGAATTCCAGTGTTGGAACTATTCTCCTCCCACCCCATGTTGCAACCGGTGTTCGGAATCTGCAGGATTGCCACGATGATATTCGGCATATCCTTGATGCCCAAGGCCATTCTGTCCTCCAGGTCGACTCGTTTACTCGTCCCCCTCATGGTCGTCGCCGTCAACCCCTTCGCGTTGTGAAGATCACCTTTGATGGTAGGACCCTTCCATCCTCTGTCATTCTTGCTGGTGCTAGGTGCTCTGTCCAGGAGTATATTCCTTCTCCTCGACTTTGTAATAAGTGCTGGAGGTTTGGGCATGGTGCCCTCCGCTGCTCTGGGACTGTCTCTCTCTGTCCTTTGTGTGGGAGTGAAGGTCACTCTAAGTCGGAGTGCACTTCTCCCCAAGCTCGCTGCCTCAACTGCGGTGAGGCCCATCCTACGTTCTCCCGTGCCTGTGTACATTACAAGCTTGAGGCGCCGTCCTTAACCTGAAGCACCGGGAGCGTTTGTCTTTTCCTGAGGCGAGGCGCCAGGTTCGCCGGCTCCCGCCTTATACTAACATCTCTTATGCTCGCGTGTTGCGCTCTTCCTCTCCTCGTCCTTCCCCCCTTCCTCAGACTCTCAACCGTTTCCGGGCCTTGGACCCTGATACGCCCACTGCCCCCTCCTCTGTTCCTTTGAGTTCTTTCCCGAGGGGTCCCCCTCCTGGTCCTCTGTCTGGGGTTCCCCTTCTTTCAACCCGGTCTGTCATGTCTCCTGTGTCTTCTTCCTCGTCCCCCTCCGATCCTCCTTCCCATCCTCTTCCTCCATCTATCGGCTCTCCCCGCCGCCTGTCGGTGCAGGCGGATGTCCATCGCTCTCCTCACGGCCGTCGTGTGTGCTCTCGTTCGGCTTCTCCGGTTGAGACACTGGAATCCGTTGCCCGGTACGTAGTTGCTGGGACACCGGTCTCTTTCAGTCAGAAGCGTAAGCCTGGCTCCTCTCCTTCCTCTTCCCCGGCGGGTAAGAAGGCTTCGCTTTCTTCCTCAGCTCCTCCTTCTGGCTCTGTTGCTCCTTCCCCTCCCGTTTCGGTGCTTGCGCCCCCTGTTCCTGCTATGGAGGTTTCTTTGGCCCCTGCTTCCCTTTCGGTTGCTGCTCTTGCTGGGGTGCGCTCCCCTCTTTCTACTCCCCCTCTTCCTGCTGCTGTCCTTGACTGCTCCTCTCCGTTGTCTCCTCCTCTTCCTCCTCCTCCTCCGGACCCTGCCCGCCCACCTCTGATCTGTTCTCCCGTTTCCTTCCCTCCGTCT